TGGCTATAGAATACTGAGGAGGCAATTCTTACTAACATCTCAAGTGAGCTATCTGGGGTGAAAGCCATTCTTTGTAGCTTTTCCTCTTGCTCTTTAAATTATTTATACTTGGGGTTTCTCATATAAGAAAAAGCATGCAGTATTTAAGTTAAGTAACATTTTTTACTAGGGCATTTTAATTAAATTTTAATTGAATATTTAACACTTTAAAAAAGCCTTCAGAAAGAATTATGAAGAGCAGAAGGATTTAATGAGGTAAGCTCTTTCGTGATGCCAGCAAACATACTTGGCAGCTCTCGAGGACAGGACAGTTTCCTGGAAGACATACTGTGCATCAAGTTGGGAACACAGAGCCATGTTAGCTAAAGTGCCTAATGAGGAGTTTCTCTCCACATTTAATAAAAATGACTGAAAGCTCCACGTGACATTAACCATTTAAAGGATAGTTATGCTCACTCTTCTAATTCATCGTGAAAATAACTTAAAATATTTGAACATGTATTGATCACTTATTTGCTGGGCACCTTTCCATTACCATATTTATGTGTATTATTTGATTTAATCCATAGGAAATCATCTCTCTTAGCTTCCCTTGCCTTCTCTGACCACAGTAACAAGAGGGCCCAGGCTTCCCTAATTCCCTTGCCCTCTAAACCTCACAGCCATGTCCCTGCTTTCTAAGTTTACCAGGAACATTTCTCGAAAATCATGGGAAACACCTCTATAAACTCACTGGAAATACTGCTGTAAGATCACTAGAAACGCCTCTCTGTAGATCCTTCATCCCGTGAAAGCAGGCAGCTGAAGAAGCCCCGACCCTGGCCGCTCTCATCTCCTGCACTTGGGTCCCTGTGCCTCTTGCCAGAGCCCCTGTCTTCCCTTGTCTTCCACCCTGTGTGCTCAAGAATTTATACCCCTCATCAAGGAAAATCTCTATTTTAACTTCTCTTTAAAGGCTCTCTTTTTCCCCTATAAGTTGACATTTCCTTGAGAATCATGTTTCTCCAAAGTTTTCCTGTTTTTTTAAAAAACCTATTAACCAGCACACTTTTGTTTCTGCCGGTAAGTTGAGCTGGTATCTGTTGGATCACCCGTGACCCCAGGTGATCCCGTGTTAAAGTCACGGGCAGACCTTGTGGAACTGGTCCACCTTCGGCCTGACGGACCACACCCGCTTCCTTCTCCCTTTGCTCCATCTCACGAGACACCGAGACACTGTGACACCGTCTGGCTTTCTTTCCTGATCAGGTCGCCAGTTCTTCCTGATCTCAGTCCCACTTTGCATTGCAGCGCGCCACAGCTCACACCTTGGACTTTTTTTCTGTCTACTTAACCCCCTTAATGATCTCCTCCAGTCTATAGCTTTAAACTCCTCTATGTGACTCCTGAATTGACACCTTCTGTGCAAACTCTAGGCCTGTATCTCCGGCGCCTTCCTGACACCTTCTGTTAGCGTCCAGCAGGCATCTCAAAGCTCACAGGTCCTAAATGGAAATCCTGATCTTCCGCCCGCCCTTCCTGCACACTTCCATTTTCCTTAGTGCCAGTATCGCCTTCCAGTTGCTCAAATGAAAATCTGAAGCATCGTTCACAGCTCCTCTTTCACGTGCAGAGCAGGTTGTCAGGAGCACCGCCGCCTCTTGCTGTCACCGCCCTGTCCACACCGTTACCTCAGCCCAGATCGCCAATATGGCCTCCTCACTTGTGTGTCAGCTTCCACACTGCTCCCCACTTACTGTCCATTCTCAACAGAGCATTCGGAGTGATGTTAAAACCAGTGCTTACCCACCTTACTTGGAGTAAAAGCCACGCGCTCACTCTGCGGCCTCCACGTCCCTGAACTATCTGGTGCTCACACCGAGTTTTCTGACTTCATCTCCCGCTCCTCTGTCCTCATTTCCTCATGTCTCCTCCGAAACACTCCCCGCACCATCACCTACTTTCCCTGTGTATTTCTGTCTTAGTGTCCTTGTGCTGGGCTAGCACATGAGCTCCACGTGGCAGGGAGTTTTGCCTTTGTTGCTCACCCACGTGTCCCACACCCCGGGACAGCACCTGGCAGGTGCTCAGTACAGTGAGCAAATACATGAGTTGCAGGTTGTGGTGTTTCCTCATTTTGCAGACCAAAAATTTGGGACTGTGAGTACTTGTCCAAGGTTCGTACAGCACTGAGTTACGGAGTCGTTAAACCAATGAGATGATGAAGTGTGGAGGAATGGCTGAAAGTGTCAAGCTCGTGGCAGCCTGCAGTGCTTCTTTGTGTTTGTAACCGGTTTGTCACATAGATTGTATTTCCAATCTTTGTACAGTCCAGTTGGATTTGCTTTAATTATAGACTACAACATTAATACAACTTACGCTTTAAAGGAGAGCCATAGTGGAAATCATTCCTATCAAAACCTGGTGGTGCCAGGCATGGTGGTGCACAGCTGTAGTCCCACCACTCAGGAGGCTGAGACAGGAGGATTGCAGTGAGTTTAAGGCCAGCCTGGGTTACATAGTGAGTTCAAGGCCAGTCTAAACTACATAGCAAGATTCTGTCTCAAAAAAGCAAACAAATAAAACAGAATAACACCTGCTGGTATTCATAGCAAATACATGTCTGGAAGCATAGTAAGTGTGCCTTGGTTTGCTAATGGGGCCATTCCATTGATTCTGTCTTCCTTAATTATAGTTACTAAAGCCCAAGCGGTTGTTTACTGCACATGCTCCATTTATCCAGAAGAAAATGAAGCTGTTGTTAAGAAAGCATTGGAATTTCAAGATCGTGGGGTTAAAGTACAACCTTACAGGTAAGGAAAGGATTCTAAACAACTCAGACATCTTTGAAAATGAAAACTATGATTTTCTAAGTTGTATAGTCTACTTGCTTTCCATTAGGCTTTTTAATTTGATCAAATAGCCTAAACTCTTTTTACAAGTTTAGATTCTGTTGTGATTTTGCATGAACTCCTGCAGCTTGGAATGATCTCTCTCTCTGTGTGTCTCTCTCTCTCTCTGTTTCTCTGTTTCTCTGTCTCTCTGTCTCTCTCTCTCTTAGGGTCTCACTATGTAGTTCAGGCTTCAGGCTGGCCTTGAGCTCACTATGTAGCTCAGGCTGTCCTCAAACTTGAGGTGATCCTCCTGTCTCAGCCTCCTAGGTGCTGGGATGTGTACCACCACTCTCAGCTGTGTGAACATTTTCTTACACATAAAAAGATTATTTGGTTTTTGCTATTATTTTTAAAGCTAAAGGCATTTTTCTCTTTCACTTAATTAGTTTCTCGATAAACTGGGTCCAAATTTAGGTACATTTAGATACCTGAATGCCTCTGTAGAAGAGCAGTGAGCATGTAAACTATAGTTACAGAAAGCTGGATGTGTATTATTTGAAGACATACATCTGTCAAGCTCTTTTAGCCTCTGGCACCCACCAAGACAGAGGTAAAAACAGCCTACAGCAGCTTCAGAGTAAAGTGTGGCGAGGAAGTGCGGATAGAAAGAGCCTTGAGCCTGAGCTGGCGTCATCGAGGTAAGGGATAGCTCCCGGAATAAGTGATGCCAGCTAGTTCTTCAAGACCGGCGGTGCATAAGGTGTTTTAAACATCTCTTCTATTATTTTTAAACTTGCTTCTCATGCTGTGAACTCTTCTTCAAATTCTCAATGTGCCTGTGGTCTGCTCCCTCCTTTTGACTTGTGATTTGCTGTCTGCTGTCTCACAGGTGGACATGTGACTCACAGCCTCAGTCGCCTTCTTGCTGACTTTCTTTGCCTAATTTTTTTTTTATTAACTGTGTATCTTGCTCTGTCTCTTGAAGTTGACTTCTAACCTTTTTCTTCATGTCTAAATAGTTGTAAAATACATCACTTCTAGAATATTATTTTACACATGTTTTAAACATATTGCTATTAAGTATAAAGGCATCCATTAATTCTTTGGATCTGTAGATTCATCTCATTTGATTTGTGGGAAAATGCTGAATTTCTTAGTAGTTCTTTGTCTGAGTCACAGCTACTTTGTCAAAAAGTCTGGCTTGATACGATTTTGTGATTTACTGATAAATTTTAAGATACATAGAAATAAAGGAGGGAAAGGAGGGAAGAAATAGTTTTTTAAGAGGGAGGACTTGAGAAACAACGATTAAGGACCTCTGTTCTGGGCTCTTCCTGCCTCCTCAGTTAGCAGGAAACATGCTGAATGTCACTCATAGAGAAATGCACTTTTTTCTTTTGGCTTTTTGGGACAGGGTCTCGCTGTGCAGTTCAGGCTGGCCTTGAGCTCACTTTGTAGCCCAGGCTGGCCTCGAACTCACAATAATCCTCTTGCCTCGGCCTCCCGAGTGCTGGGATTCCAGGTGTGCACCACCATGCCCGGTGAGAAATGCACTTCTAATCAACAGTGAACGCTCATCTTTTTGCTTCTTAGTTTGGTAAAGATTTACAAGTCTAATAAAACCCAGCATTTGTGAAGCTGCAGGGCAACAGATTTATAAAAGTAAATATTTTGTTGGTTAATTTACCAATACCAATGGGAAGGGAGGGGAAGTAGGCCAGAGAGAGGGAGGGCGGGAGGAAGGTATGTGGTTCAAGAACAGCTTTCTTAAAGACTTCTTAGCAGAACTGCCTTGCCTGAGAGAAGAGGGCCACATCCCTGAGCTCTTGCTCTGTTAGCACCTGGAGGTTTTAACATCTCAGGACAAGGTGCTAAAACAAGGTGGGTGACAGATACTTAATTATTAAGAACGGAGACGAGGGGAATGTGGATGTAAAACACAGCCATCGATATTGCCCACCTCACTGGGTCTTTCTGGGGCTTGAATACACTAATACATAACAATCTTTGACACACTGCAAATGTTTGATAATTTTTATTGTTATCATTGTTATGAATTGTATGTTCACGTTTTTGCCACTTTTTCACATGGATAATCTTTTTCTTCTATGCTTTGTTGCCTATTAGGGATATTAGTTGCTTTCATATAAATTACAAATATGTTTAGATTATTCATCATTTTTTTCTTTGTATTTTAAAAATGATTTTATCTACTACATAATAACAGTACATATTAGGGGAGAATCATGTAATATTTCAGGACGTGTATACATTATATGGCTTCAAACATACCTGCCCCCCTCCAGCATTTATTAGTTCTTTATGGCAAAAGCTTTCATAACCCTCCTAGCTTTTTGACATGTGTACTGCCGTCACCCGGAGTCGCGTCCCTGTGCCGTAGCACCCAGGGCTTCCCCTTAACTGCAGTTTCGTAACTGTCAACTAGCCTTCCCCTTCCTACTCCCCAGATCATTTTACTTCTAAATATTTTTTAAAACTTTTTAAAATATACAGAAATTTCACATTTTTGTGTAGCTAACTGTATTAATCTTTTTTTTATAACTTCTTCACCTTAGGTTAAACTAATACCCAATTTAAAAATGCTTTTTTACTAATCTTCTTTTAGTCCTTTTATAGTCACATCTTTTTATATTTATATTATTGATCTGGTCTTTATTTAGATAACGGAATAAAATATGGATTGATTCCTTCCTCTCTCTCTGTCTCTGTGTCTCTTTCTCTCTCTCTCTCATACTGGGGATTGAACCCAAGGCCTTCACACTGAGCTATACACCTGACCTTCCTTTCCCCGCCTTTCTCTCTCTTTCCCTTCTTCCCTCTCTCCCTCCCTCCCTCCCTTCCTCCCTCCCTCTCTCCTTTTCTTTCCTTCCTTCCTTCCTTCCTTCCTTCCTTCCTTCCTTCCTTCCTTCCTTCCTTCCTCCCTCCCTCCCTTCCTTCCTTGTTACTGTTTTTATTTTGAGACAGGTTGCACTAAGCCACTAAACTGGCCAGTTTGGGCTGGAACTTAGGACGCCCCTGAGTGCTGGGGTTACAGGCGTGCACCACCAAGCCCAGTTTGGATCAGTCTATATTTTTTCCCCATATTTTTTCCTGCCCCACCGGTTGCCATTTTAAATGTCATCTTTTTTGATATGTTATAATCCCATTTATACTTCTATGTGAGTCTGCAATTTTATTCTATTGATTTCTGGCGATTTCTATACCAATATCACAATGCTTTAATGGCTATAGTTTAAAATAGTTTTCTTAAAATTATTTTTGTTAGTTACAAAAACTCATTTACATATCACATGACACATAATGAGAGGATTACTGATTTCCGCCTTTGTCTCTGCACTTCCACATCCCAGAGTTTCCCTTTGGGGCTGAAGCGGGGTCCTGCGGGCTCTTTTATGAGCCAGGTCTAACCTGTTTGTTCCCGCTCATGACGAGAAGGTCTGGAGGGAACCAGAGGAACCGGCAGCAGGAGGGCATAAACCTAGAGACTCGGTGTTTCTACCACTGGCCCAGCCACACCAGTGTCCCAGCTGAATGCCAGCCAGAGGAACGTGTGTGCAGCATTATGTTCTGGGTGACTTGTACATTAAGTGCCTGTAGCCTCCGATTTTACTGAGATGATCACATACGGTAAAACTCATAAAACTACTGTATATTCACAGAGCTGTGCAGCCATCGCCACTGTTTATTTCCAGAACATTTTCATTGCCCCTTCGGAAAGCCCACGCCCATTTGGCACCACTCCTCATCCTCCTCTTCCTCAGCCGTGGCGGCCATGCCTACTCTGGGCATTTGATATAACTGAAATCACACGATCAGTGGTCCTTTGTCTGGGTCTTCCTCTTACCATGCTGTTTTCAAGGCTCATCCTTGCTGAAGTGTGAGAATATTGTTGTTCGGAAGGCAAGATGATACTCCGTGGTGCTTATTCATCAGCTGATAGGCATTTGGGTTGTTTCGTCTTTGGGGTGTTAAGCGTAATCCTGCCATACAATTTTGTATACAAGCCTTTGTGCAGACGTAAGTATGCATTTCTCCTCGGTGTATTTCCTAGGCGTGGAGTTGCTGGGTCACATGGCCCCTCTGCATTTAAGCATTTCAGCAGCCCCACTTTCCCAAAGGGCTTGCGTCATCTGACATTCCCATCAGCAGTGTGGGAGGGTTCCAGCTGCCCCGCATCCTCACCAACACTTGTTCTGTAAATTTGTTTTGCTCTGTAAATTCTAGTGGGCCTGGTGGGTGTGAAGTAGTATGTTGTTACGGCTTGGATTTGTATTTCTCTGGTGACCATGATGCTGAGTATCTGTCCATGTGCTTATTACTCGCCATTTGTACATCTTCCTCTGACAGATGTTCATTCAGATTCATTGCCACTTTTTAGCCCACGTCACGGTTCAGAACTAAAATGTACCCCAGAGCCTCATGCGTTTGGATCATGGGTGCCGTAGCTGACTTGCTGTCGGGAGGTGCGGCTTGGTAGAAGGTGGAGTGTGACCTGGAAGAGACCGTCTCTCCCGGGCTCCTCCCTTCTCTCTCTGCCTCCTGGCAGGCGTGGATTGGCACATTCCCTCTGCTGTGCCCCTCTGCCATCCTGCTTCTGCTTGGGAGCCTGCCACACATGGACTGAATCTGTGAGCCAAAATAAACCTGTCCTCTTTTAGGTTGCAGGACTCAGGTATTTTGTTGCAGCGTGGAAATCTGACTAAGTAGCACACGTACCTGCCTCTGAAGGAGAACTTGCTTGCCTGGACTCTGTGATAGAGGCGGATCCCAGTACCCACTGTCAGGGAGCCGGTTCTGCGACAGCACCTCCTGCTGCGGGCCCGGCCTAGAAAGGACCCCATGGTGCTGTGGTGCCCTCTCCCCAGCTCCTTCCTCGTTGCTGTGTGAAGGGCTTCTGGGAGCTGGCTCTCAACAGAGTCCTACCTCATAGGACACCCTTTCTTCCATCAGCGGCTGTGGTGGGCTGGTGTTCTGCCTCACTCAATGTGATCCGTTGTGTATTCACTTTCTATTTCTGCTTAAGACACGACCAGACTTAGTGGCTAAGAACAGCCGTGAATCAGGTCACAGTTGGGGCAGACGGCAGGCACAGCAGAGCTGGGCCTCCACTGAGGTCGTCAGCCAGGCTGGTCTCTGAGGGCTCTGGGGAACGATCTGCTGGTTGTGGGGCCTCATGCCTATGCTAGTGAGCGGTCAACCCAAGTGTGCTGTGAGCTCGGACTGGCTGCCTTCGCGCCCTGCCACGAGTCCTCCTGGAGTCCAGCAGAGGCGCGCCACGTCCGTCCTGTGTTCAGTCTCTGCGGACTGCCATCTCTGCTCTGCCTCCAACTTGAAGAGGCACGTGTGACTTTGTCAGGTCTCCCCGGTAAGATCCATGATTTAAGGTTTAGTAATTTGGGACTTAATTACATCTGCAAAATTCCTTTTGTCGTGTGTGTCAGTGTCCTAGGCTGCTGCCCCACACCATCCCAAGCTTGTCACAGAGGTACTTAATTCTTGGACAGCACTGAAGCCAGAGGTTCTAAATCAAGGTCTTGGCAGGGTTGGGTCCCGTGGAGCCTGTGATCGAGAATGTTCCAGGCACTGTCCTGGCTTCTGCTGGTTGCAAGAAATTCGTCGTGTTTTTAGCTTGTGGCTGTGTCACTCCAACCTCTGCCTCCACCTCACAAGTCCTCTCTTCTTACTGCGGCTTTAGTACTGGATTTAGGATTTACCCTACTCTGCTGTGCTTTTATCTTAAGTAATTACTGAAAAGGCCCATTTCCAAATAAGGTCATATTCTAGGGCTTTGAGTGTCCGTGAATTTAGGAGGGAACTATTCAACCCACCTCCGTCCACTCCCTGATCCCCCGAAATCCACACCTGTCTCATGCACAAAATACACTCAATCCACCTCAACTTCTCCGAGTCTTTATATTAAAACATCCACCTACACATCCGCATTCTCATCTAAATATCATCCACTAGAAGGAATCCCAAAAGTCATCACACAAGCCAGGATTCAGAGAGACTCTGAGAATAATCTTATTATTTTCCCTTCTTTAAGGGATGAGAGAAACCCAGGCCTCTGTGGCCTCCAGGCCTGTCACTTACTGGTGAGGGACTTGAGCAGGGCCCAGCTCAGGAGTCAGCTTCACTGAGCTCTTGTAGTTTCATCTCTAAAGTGGCTGAAAAAGGGCATGAGCAGCACTTCTGCAAGGTCATGCAGTTTCCTTTGAGAAAGGAAATGAGTGAGGGGTGCACGTGCATGTGACAGACGGCAGCTTCCCACCACAGTGCCCCTGTGTGAGCAGCAGCGCTAGTACTGCCCCGTGGCAACGTTAATACCACTCTCTTCGGGAGGCTCCGTGTGGCATCTTCTGAGGGCTCCAGCGCCTTGTCCTCAGAGGTCTGACTGCTTCCTTCCTGGAGGAAAACTTCTCAAGCTGGTGCTGATCCGGGCGGCTAGGAACCATTCCCTACAGAGCACGTTGACCTTTCTGACACAGTGATGCCAGCGATCCCAAACTCACTTTAAAAAGTGCTTTCTAAACTCTTAAGAAATAAACAAAAGGACAATACGCCATGTGATTCACAAAAAGAGAAAAGGTACAAAGCAGGCTGTAAACCAGGGTTTGAAATCATTCTGTAGAGGCAATTTCTGGATGGTAACTTGACTAGTCTTAATTATGGATTCATATTACCATTTAAATAGATAGCATATATGTAGCTAACTAGACAATAGTCTTATTAAGCATGTATTGAATACCTAATATGTACCAGAAACCCTACCAGATACCTATACCCTATACTGGAAACTACTAGATACTAGTAATGTGTCAGTGAATTAACATAAACAAAAATCCAAACCTTCATATTTATATTTTGAAGCTAAATATATTCCAGATTAGTATGAAATAATTATTTTCACTGAGTATTCTCTATCTATAGGGAATAAATTTTTAAAAATAATAATTTTGAATAATTTTGAATAAATTTGAATAATAATAATTGAATAAATTTCTAAAAGTAATTTTTACTTGTGTAGAGAACAAATATGCAGGCTGTGTATCCCTTGTTCAAAATACATGGGATCAGGAGTATTTCAGATTTTAGAATTGTTTTGGATTTTGGAATATTTGCATATACCTAATGAGGTACACTTTTATACTATAATTGTGTAAAAAGTAACCCAAAAGAAGAAAGCATACATTTTGTATTTTGGTAATGTGGAGCAGTGAGAAATTTAGAATTGGATGTTTGTGATTGTAACACAAATTTGCCTGGTTTGATAATGTTTAAAGCAGTGACTTGGGAAAGTGTTTAGTTTGTTAAAAGTCTGTTATTCTAGCATATGTGATGATGGGGAATTTGGGAAGTACGGTAAATTATGAGCTAATGTGAAACATTAGAGCTGTTCATTTTTACTTGACTGGTTGGCAAGGTAGTTGCCAACTGTGTCCCCCCCCAGCTCAGGAAGACTTGCTGTCTGACGTCTGCTCATTTCTCTTGCAGGCTGAGTCCTCCCGTCCTCCCACTGTGCTCCCCGAAAGAAATCCATTTGTCCACTGATAAGTTTTTCAGAGTGGAACCATCTGAGATCACCAATGGTTGTTTTCTTTCTGTTTTAACAAGAGAGGTGAGGAAAGGAAATATCCCAGCCCATGTCCTGCTTTGAAATTGGGAAACAACAAAGCCCCAGGCAGCATCCAGCAGCACTGAGTATTTCGGTGCTTGCGTTTAGAGGTAGGGAAAGTGCAGGAAAGAGGATCACCGCTGCCCTCGAATACTCCCTGCTCTTCCTGCTTCTCCTCAGTGCTCCCTTGTTCCTGCCCTCTGCGCTTACCTTGCCAATCAGTTCATCAACATCTGCTGCATCTTCCCTAACAAGAGAAAGTAGCAGTGCGTTTCCTTTTACCAGTGTTATAAATGGGGGAGCTGAAATTTTAAAAAGTCATTTGCTGAAGCTTGTGATCTATGTTAGGCCTAAAAACCATTTATTTTAGTGCAATAAAGATACTCTGTTTTGAGCCAGGCACGGTGGTGCACGCCTGTAATCCCAGCTTTTGGGAGGCTGAGGCAGGAGGATTATTGCGAGTTCAAGATCAGCCTGGGTTACAAAGTGAGCTCAAGGCCAGCCTGAACTGCATAGCGAGACCCTGTCTCAAAAACGCCAAAAAAAAAATACTCTGTTTTCACGGAAACGCTGGCGGGTGTTTCTAATACACACAGCAAGAGCCACTTCTCCCGGTAACGAGTCCTCTTTCCTTGCAGCGGGACCCATCTGAGGCTGTGTCTGTGAAAGACGTCTTGGCCCGGGCTGCAGCAAAGGGGCTGCTGGAGGGGATTGAGTTGGGAAAATCACCAAAACGGGAGAAGAAAAAGAAGAAATCAAAAACATCATTGCCCAAAGCTCCTACTAGCGATAATTACAGCATCCAAATGAAGATTGCTGAGTTCCTGAGTCGAGAAAGTAAAGCAAACCCCAGTCAGTCAGAGACACTGACAAAAGCGCCTCTTCCACAGAAAAATGGGGCTCAAGTGGGTTCTTCCATCCAGATCAAAAAACCCAGCAAGCCCGCCACCAACCCTTTGATGCCCACCTCGATGAAGAACGCCTGTCCCTCCAGGCCGGGGGACCGGCACACACAACTCGGGAGACCTCGGCCAGAAGGCAAAGTGGTTGCTCTGAAACCCGTGGAGATTGTTTTGCCGCCAGTGATGGTTCCATTTTCTGCATCCCAAGGGATGCGATCTCAGATGCCAGCTCCACATTTCTTCTGTCGCTGGATTGGACCCAAGGCTAACAGCACGCCAGGCGGCCTTCCCACCCCATCAGTCTCCGGAAGAGGGGAGAAGCTGAAGGAAAACTCACCTTCCTCCCTGTCCCGGCCTCCCCGGCCATGGCTCTGACCGTCCTGTGCTTCTCACATGGCCGGGAACAGGTGATTTTTCTTCAGTCTGGTGTTCTTGGAAGGTTAGACGTAGCTACACAAGACGCTCCCCGCTTTATCACTCTGTACCTCTGAAACGGGGTGTTACCTCCTAGGGACTCAGGTAGGGGGAACGGTGATGTCGGGCATTAACAGCAGAAATGAGAGACTGCAACAGCTCAGCGCTGATCGGTTTTAGAGCTGTGAGATCTGCCCTGCTCCTGGGAGCCTCCACCCTGGGTCACAGCTGCTGCATCTGGGAAGGAAAGCAGGCTCTCCGCACGCTCACAGAAAGCAGGGGTGGGCGCCAGACTCAGGCCCTTCCTGCCAGCTGCGGAGCGCCCGTTTCCCGGCAGCTGGAGCTGAACTTTGAAAATCACGATCAAAGTTGATTTTTCCGTTAAGTATCAAACTGTTCCTGAAACAAGGCGTGGTGTGAGTCTTTGTAACGGTACTGAGTTTGAGTAGGAAGTGCAGAAGGTCCCTCTCCCTTTGCTGAGTGTGAACCTGGTAGACTGAACGCCGTCCTCCCTCCCTCCTGCCTGTTTATGCCAAACACTGTTGTGAAAAATGGCTGTGAGCAAACCTCCACCTACATAGTCGCAATTTGGAAGGGGCGAAACTGTTAGACACAAGTGATACCTGTTGTGGAAGAAACCCATAAAGGGTTTCGGATTCTACTCAAGGATCAGGTAAGAGAGCGAAATGTGCAAGTCATTTCAAGTGGCAGACCGTAATTAAACATCGGTAAATCATTTCTGATGCACAGTTAAAATATGTCGTTGCCTTGTTAATTGTACTAAACGCCAGATTCCTCCTGGATCTACTTGCCTACAAATTACCTACATTATTGTGATGATTACCATTTCTGGGTCTACTGTATTTTTTCATCACAGCAACAGAAATTGTTCCACATTGAATAGAGTAAATGTACAACTATAAATCTCAACTGTTTAAAAAAAAGTTCAGACACATTCATGGCTTGAGTTTAAAGTTTTACTTCCAGAATTCAGTTGTGTAGAAGTATTAGTAAATTCCTAAATGCTCAATTCATGTGACATGGTTTTTGTGGAATATTTAGGTCCTGCTGCAGCTCTAATATTCTATTTCTCAAGGAGAGGAGAAGGGCCGTTAATTTCATTTTCATAGTACTGTTTGTTTTAGCTGAAGATGTACATTTTTCAGGAAAATCTTTAAGAAAGACTTTCTACACTTGAACCAAGCTTCTTATATTTTGAATTCCCAAATTCTTACAATACTTAGGATTCTTCAAAAATACAGGAGTTTTAAATGCTGTTTATTTTACTAATTTAAAAACATCAGAAACGATGGACTTCAAATTATAGCCTGTTTCCTTCTCTTTCCTCTATCCACATCTGATTTGGAGCACCCTACGCCCACAGCAGGGCAGTGCAGCTTAATTTAGCGTTGTTCAGTAAAAGCTGCTACTGTCAGAAATCCTGTTACCTTCCTGCCCTCAGCCCACCCCCACTGAGAAGTATTCCGCGTGTGAGAGCAGAGGGTCTGAGATCCTTATTCCCCAGCCCCTTTTTTGCGTGGTGTTTTGAACTAGCCCAGGGTGCTTTCTGATCTCCATAGTGCCTGTCACTCATGTGAGAACTCAGACCCACCGATTTCGTTGTCCATCTTGGCACTAAATGGTTTTTCCCTGTAGAAGCTTAGGAAGATTCTGAAAACCTGTTCATTAAGCCTGCATTTTACCGAGAATTTCTAGGGAGGACAGGATCAGTTATCTGAATACTTTGAAAGTGTGAAAAGGAAACTTCTAGGGTAAAAACAAAACAAGGGAATTGCAGTAAAGAATATTGATTACATGGACCTTTTTCTGTGACATTTTAGTTGCTTGAACTTCTTAAAAGTATTGCAAAAATCTAAAATAGTCACACTATGGTTATTTAGATACTGCAATAGCAATTTGGGTTTTTATCTGAAAGCATTTACAACTATGAAAACCCCCAACACCAAAGTGAACTTCTGTGCCTTCAGTCATTGCCTTTGACAGCTGAGGGAGAGAACTGCGGGGAGAGGCGCACCTGAGCAAGAGGCGGGAGGCGCCTCAGTCTGCCTTGCTCTCTGTGACTGCAGCTACACTGCCCCACAGCAGGCTGAGTTCCCAGCTCCCTTCCACGTCGGATTTCGTGCCTGTGCACCTCTGTTCTTCGTGCCCTGAAGTTAGTTCTTAGTGCAAAGAGTCACTCTAGAAAGACTGCTATGCTGGTGAGGATGCATGTGTGTCTGGAACGCCTGCCGTCCTTCCTCAGCACCAAATAAAGTCCGGGTCATCGCCCAGAGTTTACTTTGCACTTCTTAACCAAGTGGAAAGACATAATCGCTACTCAGAGCTGAATCTTACATTACAGTCACTTTGGATTTCTATAACAGTTAATGTGATGATATAAAAATAAAACGACTAGTGTAGCGACACTTTATATTTCTACTTCTCATATATACAACTGAGTTGTCAGATCAATGAGCCAAGCATTTTACGCAGCTAAATTTATTCTCACAACATATTACATTTAAATGTGTAAAAGTGGTCAACAGCAAAAGGGGTAAAAAGGAAAACGAAACATCCTTTAGGGGTGAACAGGCCAGATGCCAGGGACTGCGCTCTTTGTGGTGGGAGTGAGGATCTTTGCCTTGAAGCTGAAGGAACTTCAACTTGATTTTACTGGCTGTAAATATACTTGTTAGATAGACATGATTTAGGTTAAGCCTGGCCAACTGGAGAGCTCATGGTCCTAAAATCATGCCAGTATCAGTCAGAGATATGTTTTCCGTGTTTAGATCTTGTGTTGCAAAGCTCATCAAATGAGTGTGCTATTCAAGAAAAGGGAGCTTGGGAGCTGTTGCTAAATGGCCTCATGGATTCTTAAAGGTGTGTCTATCTTAAACTCAGAACACGGATTTTAAAAAAAAGTAGCAGTGCCAACAGTTTATCACCAAGAACTTGTTTTAATGGAAATGAGTCTAATGTCCCTTCATGCAGTAAGACAGACAAACAAAAAACAATGGCTCTAATTAATTATGGGTGATCTCGTATCCAGGTGGAAACACAGGGCTGTATGTGGCTATATGTATATATCTTGAGATGAAATCACACGCGTTGTGAAGGGTATAAAAACGAAGCACGGCACAGTGCTTTAGTCTACAAAGTGAAGTTCTTAGCCATTGGCATGGCGGCCGTGATGCGGCCAAGGAGTGCGCGGAGCAGGTGGCAAGACTGCGTCTAGCTAGCTGCTCTTCAAAAATAAAAGGAACTTTACGCATTTTGCCTTTTCTTCTACATACTCCAATAGAAACGTGACTACAAATCATTATAAAACCACCATTAGGCAACATATAGTTCACTGAGATTACTTAGGTCTGGATACGCTGAGACGTAATATCCAGTAAAGATAATACATTAACACAATAATGCAGTATATTTCAGTAAAAATAGAATAAATAAAAATATTTCAAGCTGTATTTAACAGGTTAATTAAAAAAATGATAGGAGATACAAGGCATAGTGAACATGGCCGCCTGTTTACCGAATCACAGATATCAAGAATGCATAGGTAACTGAAGGGTCACTAAGTTCTCAGGTAAAACACTGGCATCCTTTCACAGACAGACACACATACTTTCATACATACTTTTTGGCCATGGCAGAAAGTGTCTGAACATACTGTTTAACACAATAAGTTTTATACAATTAATCGGCATTTAGTATGCAAAGCCATTATCAAAACAAAGTATCTGCAGTAAAGTTTTCAACGTGTAAAGGTTATCAGTCATCTTACTGCACCCTGTAATTGCATATATAAATGTTTGCTATTTAAAGCTAGCTCAGTGTTCTTGATCCTGAACACAAACATATGCCTTAAAAATGAACAAGAGGGCTGTGGTAGAGATTTCCTGCAGAAAAGTGGGTCACTTAAATAGCATCGAATGTATCACACTGAAACGTCTCACAGGGGAGATCCAGATGAGAGATCATCGCAACTGAATTTTGAACAGCAATTCGCAGAGCACAGTAAGATTTCCATAATGCAGCAGTTTCCCACAATGGCACTGGTTACTTCAGAGAGAACAGTATGCAGGCTGGAGAGAAGCACAACGCATTTCTAAAGTAGCATCATTTCTGTTATATCAGGGTGCCAGCAAACACTTCCTGCCCTGCTGTGCCCCCCGCCAGGGCAGGCAGAGGTCTCCTACTCCTTCCGTCATGTTCTGCTGGGTAAGGGCCATGGTGAGGCGTGCCTCTGCCACAAGGACCACCACTGCTGGGAAATTCTCAGGCTGCACGGAATGGGGATGCCTGCCCTCTACAGCATGTCTGAGGCACACCACACACAGCAAGCGGTCCAGGGCTGCGAGGAGGCAGCTGTTCGTGGTGGATTTAATGCCACTGCCCGAGTAACATGGACAGGCTTCCCTGCTTCTGCAGGGAATTCTGAGACTGCCTGGCAGTTTCAGTGTCTGCTCTTTGTGAATGCCCAAAGTCACTGGGAAAGTGGGGCGGTGGGCGGATAGGACAGCGAGAGCTGGGCTGGAGGCGTGAGTCCTGCTTCTGGCCCTCCTGGCTTTGGTGAGATCTTAGGCCTGTTGAGTTAGTCTCTTGGTACTTTGTATTTTATTTCTCCAATGTGTTTAGTACCTTTTCAACCATATAAGGCTCAAATGTGATAAGGATATGGAAACCATTTTGACAAGTACAAAGCTGCGTATAAACGGAAAGCATTACTTTTATAACTGGATGTTGTAAACGTTAATTTTGACATTACAAAGTAAACAGGACTAATATTGAGATTGCTCTCCTTAGCTACTTCCTTTTAAAACGTCAACAAGAGTCTAAATTTGTATATCTTCATGACTAAGTTTCTTAGCCACATAAAAAGCAGGAAAATGCTATTTCTGGGAAACTGTTAAAGAGTCCATTATTCCTATGTATACTTTGCTCTGATATGAAATCTTTAAGTCTTGAAAATAAAATGGAAAAAATATAAATTTTAAAATATATCTTGTTGGATCTAACAAATTCTAATATTAAATACATAAGTTTAAGAAAGTCTCAACTCAATGTAATCTGTTGCCATGGACAATATGTAACAGACAGACAACCTTCTGGACAAAAAAAACCCATTAAAATAAAAATGAGCTAGATGAGGAATTCTAGCAGAACATTTACCTTAGGAGATGGACTAACAAAAATGTGGTGGTGGAAATCTAAAATAATAGTGTGTGACAGAGAGATACATGACATTTTCTCAGCTCTAAATTGCATATTGGCTGATTATCAAATGAAGGATGAGAGGCTTATGAGGAGTATTTCATCTAATGTTTGTGCAGAGAATGAGTATAGTGAACTATAATTCTCTAGCTGCATTGTACAATGTAAGGCAGAAGTTTGAAATATGTCCCACCGAAAATGCATTAGGATCTTGTTCATCTCTTTTTTAAAATAATCAGTTTGAGAACCATCTGAAAAGGCTATTTTTTTGCTCAATTTTAATTCCCCGAATTTAGTTTTTCATTAGTTTTGAAGTTTCACTCCCCACCTCCCCCAATATCCCACAAACAGCGGTAGACATGAAATGATGTCCGCATGTCAAAGCCTGTCACGGAAAGCTGCCCATTGGCTGCTACACCGATGCCAATAGCCAACTTTGTCAACCAACAGGTTTGACTCTATGGAAAACTGAAACCCATCCTATGTTTACAGCAATTCAATGGCATCTGCTCTGCAGCGATCTCTGTGTTTCCAAGGCTGAAAATGGACAAGGTGCTGCAGAACTGAGAGCTGCTTGAGATGGAAGAGTCGAGAAGCGGGGAGATAGATTCAGGCATCATCGACTCCAAGGACGCAGTGTTAGTTCACCAGGCGGGCGTGGCCATATTGTTCTCCCCGTGTGAAGCCAAGGCCCGCCCACGATATGTACAATAAGAAAGGGGCCTTCCATTGCTCATGATGTAACTTACAGCAAAAAAAAGTATTCATGCTTCTGTTCATATCACATGGTGGTGGTAAGACAGAGAACATGCTGTGTAACACTGTTCAGTTACAGATAAACTCTCTGGAGACGAAGCATCGGCGGCGACGGGATGGAAGGCTGGGCTCAGCTCCTTGTCTTTAGTGTAGCTCTTCAGTCTTCGGTAGACACCTGAGTCCTTGAGCACGTGCAGCTACGGTGTTTCCGAGACGGGACGTTTCTGTTTCAAAGTGTCAAGGAGGGACAGGACCCCTCGCTTTACATTGGTTGTGACTCTTCTGGTCACCGAGTCCGCTGGCGGAGGAGGTGGCCGCACTTTCTGTGAAGGCGGCCTGGCTACCAAGCACTTCTGATAGCGTAACTGAAAGAAAGCAAAGAAAATATTCAAGGTAGTACCATTTCATCTTGTGAACAGGACCGTGAGTCTTCACCAATAAATGACTCCAGGAAGTTAACAACCGAGCTCTTAAATCCAAGAGTTTATTTTATTTTCAACGTGGGTGTTTTTTTTTTTTTTTTTTTTTTTTTTGGTTTTCTCCGGTACCGGGAACCGAACTCACGACCTTGCACTTGCCAGGCAGGCGCTTTTGCCGCTGAGCTAAATCCCCAGCCCTCAACGTGGGTGTTTTAAACTCTTCATTAGCTCAATGAAGGTGTGCTGCCTCTGGCCACGTTTTCCTCGCCTCCACTCCCATCCTTTTCTCTGTCTTCACAGGCTGTGTGGATAAACTCAAGAGTCCACAAGCCAAGGAAAACAAGAAGGGCCTGGGACAGAGGGTGTTCACTGAATGCTTCATCAGAGACACACATGTTGGGCAGTGCTCACGGCTCTTGAGACAGCAGGGGAGAAGGGTGCAATTTGTAACCAGGCTCCACCTCTTTTTCTTTTTTTGAGACAAGGTCTCGCTATGCTTTCATGCTGGTCCCGAACTACGTAGCCCAGGCTGGCCTCAAACTCACAGCAGTCCTCCTGCCTCAGCCTCTCAGTGCTGAAATTACAGGCACGCACCACCATGCCTGGTACCACTTTTTGGTCGACTCCAGGCAGTTACTAAATCTCCCGCTCCTGTCTTCTCAACTGTGAAGTGGCTGGAGAGTGACAGTCTTTATAGAGGATGTGACGACTGAATACGGCATACTTATAGAACGCCTAAAACAGGCCTAGCAAAATACAGTGTTTCTTTACATCCCTTTCTCCTGCTTTAATAAAAAAGCATGGTGTATTCATAGATTTCAGGATATATGTTATACTGAAGTCTAAATCCTAATGGGTTAGCTTTACAGAAACTGACAATTTCTATCTTTCAGGAATATAAGAAAACAACAGTAACAACAAAACAGCTCATCTGCTTTTGTTTTAATGGGAAGATAAATAATTCTTCAAAATAAGATGAAAAGGGTAAAACTTACCCAGTGTTTTTTTGTAATCAGAGCACTGTGACATACTTCCACAGCTGATTTTTAGAAGTTGACTTAAATATTAGCAGGTTGCTCGCTATAGTTATGGAACAAGTGGACGATACTCCCTGAGGAGCATGAAGCGGAGCAGCGAGACTCTAGGGGATGAGGGACCACTGCCCCCTCACAGCCCACAGCCCAGAAACTGGCCCTGCCAACCCAGGCACTGGAACACCATGATTTACTGCATCCCCTGGGTGTACGGCACCTTGCTAATCTGTATCACAACTCAAAATACATACATCTGAGGCATGAATTTAGACAGGCAGGCGTGGTGACGTGGGGCCCCGGAGCTGGCATTTCAAACAGCAGTTCTGTATGGACAGCATGAATCAAAATTGCACTTAGCTGGTGAATTCCATAAAGGACCCCTGTGATGCTTGAGCTTGGCTGTGTCAATTTGATTGGCTGGGGAGCTCCAAGGGGAGTAGTAAAGCACCCTGGGTGGGTTACGGAAGCGTGGCCTTCGGTACTCTATGTGGTGCCTGGCCCCCTCCTCTCTGCTGCTGTTCCCCCACTCTGCTTCCTGGCACCATGATGCTTTGCTCTGCCACACCCTTCCACCATGACATTCTTGCCTTGGAGCTGGCCAACCGCAACTGAACCCTCTGAATGGGCTCAATTAAAGGTCTCCTCCTTTAACCTGCGGGTACTGGGTACTGTGTTCCAGCAAGGGAAAGCTGACTAATCCCTCCCTCTCTCTGTCCTGTTCTGAACTTCACAAAAATTTCATCAGAGGGGTCCATATCCCATAGCTGAGTCATACGCCTAAAAGTTAAGTAGATTCAAAAAATGTCACTATCACATTTCAGATAGGATAAATTCACACCTAGGCAGTTCAGATGGAGAACCGTACAGATTTGAATCAAGAAGAATGCCGCTGCACTAGGAAAGCTAGACTCAGGGTGGGGCGGGACCTCTGACTTGATCCCTATGCCTTACACGGGGTTGGCTGAGCTACTCTGGCTGCTACCCTCACTGCTCTGATACAATTAAAACAGGAAGCAAATGAGGAAAAGCTGTTTCCAAGAGGGAGAATGAGTCTGAGAATTAGGAACAAACTTCAATTAGTAATAAAGCTAGTTATTTCACTGGCATTAGCATTTAAGATGTATAATTAAAGCCTGAAAGCCATTCATTTTATGACCAAAACCATCTGCTATGATCTGGGAGAGTTTCACAGGACATCTACTCAGTCACCACCCATTTGTGCGTGATTGAAATGCCCATCCTCTGCTCCTTGTGGAGCCCGTCACCCTGTCCTCGTCTCCACACCTGGTCTGGGGTTCGCCTCGCCTCCTCCATCCCACCCTGCTCACTGCCTGGGCAAGCGACAGTCATAATCCTGGCTCCGCAGTCCTGGATGGGCTGTGTGTGTGTATGCGCGCGTGCACACGTGTGTGTGCGTGTGCGCGCGCACGTGTGTGTATGTGTACTATACCTATAATAAGGGCTGCGCTAAGTGGAAATTGGATCCCAAGTAGAGACACCAGGTCTCTCCTCCCTTGTCCCTCCCTCCCCTAAAAGGCAAAGGTATCTTTAAGATGAAAGCCAATCCCCACCTTTGCCATCTTCTACCCCACCCTCTGTAACTCTCTGTCCCTGTCTGTCTGTCTCTATTTTATGGCGGTACTGAGGACTGAACCTAGAGCCTTCACGTTGAGCTACATCTCAGCCCTTTAACTTTCTTTTTCGTTTTTTTTTTTGAGATAGGGTCAATAAACTGCCCTGGCTGGGCTCCAACTTGCGATTCTCCTGCCTCAGCCTCCCAGACTGTTGGGATTGCAGATGTGCATCACCACACCCAGGTTTTGCTTCATCCTTAACTTAGCAGTGTTCTTTATGTAAAAACAAACAACCTCCCCTCAGCTTCACTCTTCTCGGTTCTTAGCACCTTGTGGCTTGTCTCAGAGTACAGTGAGGACGTTGAATCAGGCAGGGGGCCAAGTGCCTCTTCCCGCTCTTCATTTACCACCATGATCTGTTAGATTCATGCTGCAACTACAGCATGCATTTGCTGACTGAGAGGAAACATATCAGCAGCTGATTTCATCCTTGCGCAAGACTCACAGTGTTCCCTCCCAGACATGGGTCGGGGAGGCCACCGTGCACCTGGGATGGGTGGTACAGCCTCCTGCTCCTGGGCGGGCTGCAGCCTGGACGGCAGGTTACTGTACTGAGTACCACAGGTGACAGGAACACTGATATCTGTGTATCTAAACATAGGGCACAGTAAAGACACGCCATGGAGCTGCCGGACTGGAAGTTGTTCGGGCGTCTGTGAGTGACTGGGGGCCGAGGACACTACTCTCCCAAGCAGACTTTATAAACACCGTTACACTGTACACTTAGGCTACACCACATTTGTTACCACTTTTTCTTCAGTAATATATTAACCCTAGCTTACTATAAGCTTTTGTTTGTAACCTTTTTTTTTTAAAGCTCTTTGACCCTTCTGTGATAACCCCTAGCTTGAAACAAATACCCTGTAGGTGACGGGAATACTTCAGTTCCGCTATACTCCGATGCACCACTGGCATGTATGTGTTTGGTCATGGACAGAAGCATCAGGCACACAGTATATATGTGTGCCCACTTCAGTCTAGCCTTGCTGGCTCATCTCCCTCAGGCTAAGAAAGTGCAGATCCAACCCGTCCTAAAACAAACCAACCAGTAACCCACTGGTGCTGCCCTTCCGGCTGCCCTTTGATAGTGGGACCTTCTAAGCCATCCACTTCCAGGGCCTCCTTTCCTCTGTCCTCTTGGTTCCTTGTCAATCCAGGGAGCCTCACACTTGTATCTGTGGCCCTTTCCACACTAAAATGGAACTTCGGTTTGTGTATGTCTCACGCACCATGTCCAAGTTTCACAATGTAGGGGTCAAACGGGGTCAGGCCTGAGCTAACCTGAGCTTTCCAGCCTACACACCTCGGGTGAATTAAGTACAGATGACCCAGGTCCTGAAGCCAAGCTCCCTCCCCCAGGGCAGACACCTGCATGGCGCCTCTCAGACTGTCACCGTGTGTCCCCAGTCTGTGATCCTGGCTTGTACCCGCCTCACGCCCTCTGGACAGCTGGCCAGCCTCCAGTGGATCACCCTGCCCTCCACATGGCTCCTTTTTCTTTTTGCTAGAATATTCTTAAAACTAAATATGATCAGTTCACTCCCCTGCTTGACAATCTGGAACTCTGGCATGACACCATGGGCCACTGGCGCTTCATGACACAGACCCAGCTTCCTGCCACGTGGTCTCAGCAGCTCAGCTGCGACTGCTAGAGTACACGGGTGCAGGCTCTGGGGCCTCTGCGTTCACACTGCTTTTGCTCTGGCTTGCACTCTTCCAGTGCCTGCTGCACCAGGTGCTCAAAGGTATGTGTCCAGTGAATGAGGGGTATTTCTGCCCCAAATCATCTGCAAAGCACCTTGGCTTTGTGACCCAGTAGCGGCAGCACGGGGCCACTTACTAACTCTGTGCCCTGCAGCTCACTCGAACTTCTCTGAGCCTCAGTTCTCATAAATAAAAGAGCCAACAACTACACAACAGGGCTGTTGCAAGCACTGACTTAGCAGGCAGAAGGTAAATACAATATGGAAGGACAGTGCATCTAAAACCACAACTATGTGAAGTAAAAACCACTCAGAACATTGCTTTCTATTTCCGAAGTACTGAGCTGAATGCAAACAGTAACAGCTGATGCATGACCAGCATTTTCTGCTCACAAACTGAAATGAATTTGAGATCAGGGAAGGATAATCCTCAAACCTAAATCCTTTCCAATGCTACTGAAGTCTCCACAGAACTCGGCTCCACTGGATCCACTTCATTCAAGAGAGCTGGCCCCTTGAGATGCAATCTGCTTCTCCTAACTGACTCAGGAAAGCAGGACTTTAAAAATTCCATTTCTCTTTCTTTTTATTTTTTGGGCAATACTTGGGATTGAACCCAGGCCACTGCACCGAGTTGTATCTATGGCCATTTAAAAAAATTTTTTGAGAGAGGCTCTCCCTAATTCAACAAGTGGTCCGCCCTGGATTCAAGCTTTGCAATCCTGCCTCCGCCCCCACAGTGCCGGGATTACAGGCAGGACCTCCACAGCCAGCTCGCTCTTTTAAATAAGTACTTCTGCTCAAGTTTATGGTGCACAAAAGCTAAGCAGGGAAGGAAGGCCGAGGCTCTCGCTGCGGCCATCACTCACCATGCAGGCGGCCTGGACCGCCTCCGACACGTTGGCGGCATTCGGCTCACACCAGAACACGTGGCACTCAAAGCGCTGGCTCCCGGTGTCCATGATGAAGGCAAACGTGTGGACGTCCTTCCCGACGCCCATGAAGGACAGGAATCGCACTCGGCACTCCACCAAGACCTCCTCTTCATTCTGCAAGAGACGCCGCTCAGCGTTCAGCATCACACTACCCCCAGGAAGCCAGGCCACCGTCACCAAAATGTTCGTCTTAAACCACAAAAGTCAGCAGATGAGATCTGGTATTAAAACATGGCCACACTGAATTCAGAAAGGACATGTGACTGTCTGGAAGGTAGGACTTTGCCTAAATGTCCAGGGAGGCCGTTACTGCTGTGGGCATCTGTTGACATTTCATCTAGCCGTGTGCACTGCCGTCATGGTAGGTGATGTGTGTTCTGATCCCACCACTGTACTCTGCACCTGTGAGCTCAGTGTGGGGAGGAACAGGCCGCGTCCTTCTCACGTGCAGTCCAATGCAGAGCACCCAACGGCTCAAAACCAGAGTGTCTGCATGAACCGCACAGGCATCGGAGGAAAGGACCCACTGTATCCCTCTCACCTGCCTCATCTACCCAAGGAAACAGCACACTGAGTCACACTTCTACCTAGATCCATGGGAACAAATCGCTGCCAAGTCAACAAACTTGTCAGATCACTTTTCCCCTTTCCACACAGGGTATCCATATGAAGCGGCATAAAGCAATGCCTGCAGTTCATTCTTCTGGGTATAAAGAAGACATCCTTCACAGCGACCATGTGTAATTTCTGAATCAGTAAACACAGCCAGAATGTCACTTGCAGATCGTAGTATCCTGACTGATGAAATATGCACTCAGGTGCAAGGGGAGTGTCACAGGCACGCTACGCTGGCCTGACAGTTGCAGGGGATTTCCCGGGAGATGTGAAACTGGGACCTGGGTGAGGGCCGGTGCCTGGGATTGGCGGCCCTAGCCAAGACACTGAGACGTTAAGGGCATGGAGACAGGCTGGAGGGACGGAAGGAAAACCAGCACAGCATGCTGGACGGGCAGGCAGGTCGGTGAGCACCCTGCCATGTCCGGAGATGAAGCGGGCTGGTGACCTGAGGTCTCTCCAGGACAGGTGCTTCACTGCAGAACGGGAGAGTGGTAAGGAGTCTGGAGCCAGAGTGCCCAGTTTCGAAGCCTGGTCCTATACTTCCATCTCTGTAATGCCGGGCAAATTTTTAACCTCTCTGTGCTTCCATTTCCTCAGCTGATTTGGACTGAGGCTGGTGCTGGCCTCTGCCAAGGTGACCAATGACCAATGACCCCTTCTCCTGGTGACAGACCGAACCCGAGCCTTCCTCCAGCGAGATACCTTTTGTGTCCAACACCTGCCAACATGGCCTGACTCACATGGAGCCCTGAGAGGGACTGGCCAGAGCCCAAACTCTAGTGCACACGATCACCTCCAGCGCACAACTGCAATCTTTTGGGCAAACAAGGAAGACAGAATCAGGAGCACCAGGATAGAAGCTCCCACGTCCCAGGGAAAGCAAAGGTGGCAAAGACGGAGGCAGAGGCCAAATCCTTTTATGAGAGTAGGGCCAGTGATTCACAAGCAAGTGCAACTCCCAGGAACACACGCCCCAGGCGTTCCCACGTTTTACAGAAGACCGCTGCATCTAAAATCTCCCTGCAGCCCAGACTGGCCAATGTCCTGCACGACCCCTACCTTCTCACTGATGACTGTCACCGTGGCATCCGCCACGTTCATGTTCACGGATGGCCAATCGTCCTTGTCGGATGAGGTCATAAGACTTTCTATGGCACTGTTCAAGGTATCCATGCCTGTGGATGGAAAAGGATTGCAAAAGCCCTAAAGCTGGTGATAACTCTCAAATGTGGGCCCAACCACCAAGTGATAGCCAAACCCAGGTTGACTTTTCTTTGTAGTTACAGAAGACACTTTATACTTTATTCTCATGTATGCCCAAAAGCCAAGAACTGCCAGACTGCAGCAGGAGGAAGGGGCATGAGCTCCTCGAGAGATCTGATTTGGGGTGTCCTGTCTGTTCAGCCAAGGATTCTAATCTCCATTGACTCCTCAGCCCTGGGGTGTGAGCAGCCTGCCCGTGTCTACCCAGGAGCTTTGGGAGGGGGCTCTGCAGAAGCCGGCATCTGCTGGAGTATCTGATCGTCTTGTATCATGCTTGACATTTAAACAAGGCCAGGTCTGACGGCCCCTTTACAGGCACAGTACGTGCTTCTCAGTGGGGCCCCTCTGTTGGGTCTTCCTACAGCCTCGGGGCTGGAGGAACCAGGGGAAGGAGTAACAACTTTATTGTGATATAATTCACACAGAATCCACTCACTTTAAGTGCACAATTCCATGGTTTTTAGTATATTCACAGAGGGTAACCACCACCAAAATCAATTTGGGAACATTTTCATCAACCCAAAAGGAAGGCCTGTACCTTTCAGGAGCTACACTCTACCCCAGGCAACCACTTACTAGCCTGTGTCTCTGGGTATCTGCCTATTCCCGACATGTTCTGTAAATGCAGTCACACAGTATGTGGTTTTGTGACTGACTTCTTTCACTTGGCTTAACATCTTTAAGGTTCATCCATGCTGCAGCGAGTTTCAGCACTTTGCTCCTTTTCACCGCCAAATAAAATTCCACCACACGGAAGCATCATGTTTTATTTAACCATTTGTCAGTCGGTACATTTGGATTTGTTACTTTTTTTTTTTTTAACTATGATACACAATGCTAGTGGATATTGCATGGACAGATGTTTTCATTTCTCTTGGGTAATATGTGCAGAACCAGAACTGCTGGGTGAAAGGTAATTATGTTCAACTGTCTGAAGAACCGCCACACCATGCCAAAGCAGCCTCGTCACGTTCCTTCGTAGTGCACAGGGGTTCCGATTTCTCCCAGACTTTTCTAGCCAGGGCAAGGCAACATCCAGCCTCCCTTCAGTGTGGTACAGCTGAGTGACCCAGCTGTGCTACGGGGAGGTGAACGGGAGGCTGTGGGTGTCACTTCGGGTCACAGCTCCTCCATCCTCGCTTCCTCCCCCCAGACAGCAAGACCTGAGGCAGGAGCCCCAGCCCTGGAGATGGAAGCCCCTGCTGGACAATGGCAGAGGACACCACAGTCCTTGGCTCCCATCCCTGGATGGCTGCACAGATGAGAAACACACATCTGTCTTACAAAGCCCCTGCCTGCTGGGCTCACATGTCCCATCTGCTTAGCTGTGAGACTTGTTTGATTAGGACTTTTTACAAGTTCTGGCTGGTGACAGAATGAGGGCTTGATTCCAGACAAGGCAAGCGGGTAACAAGGTAGACCTTACCCTCTTGGGAAGGTGAACATCTCCCATGAGCCCCTGCACACTGCGAAGTGGAAAGACAATAAAGATCTTACGTACCAACCGGTCTGTCTACAGGTAACATCCCCAGATACTGCACGTGGAACCTCTGGACCAGCTCAGTCTTTGGTGTTGGAAAATCTACTACAGGGAACAAAAGAAATACGTCTTTCTCAGTGCTTCTGCGTCCCAGTACAAAGCAGACATCACTTTAGATCTAGAATGTCCAGAACACCACCTGCGCCTGACGGCCAGCTTTAGGAAGTTGTATGAGACGTTTCTCACTCCACACACTGGGGCTCTGTCAGTCAAAATCCTATCCAGCTTCCGCTTCAAGGTAGGAAAGCCTTTGAAGGCAGCAGCTGGAGGTGGAAAGGCTGTTATTCTCTGTGGTGCACACTAAGAAATAGCTTTGGATCCCCTATTTGTTACGTGTGGCTGACGCCCAAAGAAAGTGTAATCGAAGGGCACAATCACAGACACAGGAAAAATGACTGAAGAGTTCCTCAAGTAACAGTCCACAACTTTTAACTTGGGCAATTCTTACCCTGTGGTATACATGAGCTTGAAAGGACTAACAATATCATCCTTTAATCTTTTCCAAGAGCAACAAAACCAACCTGTCCTTCCCATGAAACCCTCCTGTAACTCTGCCCCCGCCCTTGTGTTTGTTGAGTTCAATCTGCTTTTTAAGGACCTGAAACACCAGGAAGCAGCTGAGACCCTTTGGTCCTTGTCCAGATGGAGAGCACCGCAGGGCAGGGAGTTGCCCTCACCTACCTTGCAAGGGGACGTCGAGATTCACGTTGGTCCTCTCCTGTAGGGAGCTGCAGGCCAGGGCTTTGGCGTTCTTCCGTTCGGCCATAATCTAAAGGGTAAGTGAAAACCTAGCGTTGGCTCGTGGTTCAGGCTCCCACGTCTTCAGCTGGTCCAGCTAGTAAGGGCCTGAGCTGGTTTCATTTCCAAGTTCGTTAGCTTTAGTCTTCTGATTCCCTACCCCCGTATCTCTGGGCTACATACGCAATCTGAGAGGTCTGCCATTCTCTGGGGAGAATCACAGCCCTGTATCATTTGAAACTTATTTGGAACTTACAGCGCTCCTTGGCTGAAAACAACACAGCAATTAATCTTGGTGGAGCCCAGCCTGCTGGGCCACAGCAAGCTTAGGGACACAGAGGGAGGGCAGGGCAGCCCCACTGCTGCCAGCTCTGATATTTAGACACTCTTTTCAGGGCCCTCGAGATGGAGCACATGGGCTCAAATCCCAGCTGTGCCACTTACTAGCTGTGTGACCTGGGGAAGTCACTGGCCTCCTGTGTCTCATTTCCCTGACCACACATCGGAGTGACCACGGTACTTATGTCACAGGAAGGTTCCATGGATTACATGAGTGAACACATCAAGCAGTCAGAGAAGGCTCGGAATGCCAGCTGGGGGTGGTGGTGTTCTTGAACCTTTAGCCCTTATGGACACTGGTACCTGCTGTGCTCAAATCCCCACCAGTTACGTGTGCTGTGGGTTCAGGGACAGGGAAGAGGCTCACCCCTCAGTGACCTCAGCAGGAACCCAGCCTGCACCCCACAGCCAAGCTTTCCACTGCGGGGGAGTGACAGCCACGTCAGCCGAGCTCCCCTGCACCGGGCTCTCATCTGCGCCTGGATGTGGGCAAGAGCACTGAGAAAAGCAAAGCTGTGTACACCTCGGGCATGTGCTTGGGCCGGGCCAGGTTCCGGGCGCTTTACACCAGAGCCCGGCCTTCGCAGGGAAGGACTGTTTCCTATGTCAGACACTGCACTCTGCCCAGTGTCTGGAACAGCCCTTGGTGTGTAAATGTATTTGTTATGTGAACGAAGGAGAAAAATGAAAGCTGAGGTGTGCGACGCGCTGCCAGTCCCGTCAGCGCACGAACGTGGGCGCAGGCTGGAGAAACGCGGTGATCTCGGGCCCAGCACCTGCTCTGCAGGCCCTGCCTACCGCGTGGTCAGCCTGGTGACTTGCAAGGCAGCTCTCTCGCCCCTGCCCTTCTCGTCCCTCTGTCTGCTCAAGGAGTGAGAAGGAAGAGAGGTGGCCCTCGCCCAGGTGAGGATTTTACTTTGGCACCTGTAGCCACTGGCGCTGGCCTGGGCTGGGTCTCCCCAGCTCAGGAGAAACCACAGGAGGGAGGCTGGGTAGTGACACCAGAGGCGATGGTAAAAATCTTGCATTTAGATTCTGTCGACTAAACAAATCTGGGGAATGGAGAGCCTCAGATGAGGGAAGCTGGTGACACAGTGTGCTGGGCATCTGGCTGACCACCACTGGGGTGAACGAAAAGCAAGGGGTGATGTGACTGCCAGAACTCCAAGCACCCAGCACAGGCCTTGGAGGTCAGACAACAGAGGAGCCCACCCACGAGCATGGCAGGGGCTTTCCGGACCAGGGCCCGAGCCGGAAGGGCAGCCTGGCTCACAGAGCGAGGAAGCCCTCTCGCTGCTGCAGACTGCAGCGAAGTGTTTGGAGGTCCCAGGGGGAAAGCCTTCAGGTCAACCACAGAAAGCACATGCTAACAGCTGGGGCGCTCAGCGGGGGAACAGACTCCTGCACAGTCTGAGGCCCCCGGAAGGCCAGGGCTGCGGCAGTGCAGGAGGCCATGCCGGAGGTGAGGGGACCAGACAGGGCGTGAGGCGGACTGGTGGGCCAGGCTGGCTGCCCTCACTCTGAGACCCGGGGACTCTGGCTGAGGAAGCGGGGACAGTAACCACGGCCTTGCCTCCCAGCTGGAGAATGAGCTGCCAGGAGCTGCTGTGCGTCACTTGTCAGGTCCGTGTGTGTTCACGGCAGACCCAGCTGCACACACCTCCACACACCCCTGCTGGCTTCTTCTCACCGTCTTTCCTCCTGTCCTGTTCTCCACCTGAGTTCACTCTTGGGAGTGCTGTGTTCCCACATGGCCCTTTCCCCACCATTCCGGGGACACATGGCCTCCACTGCACCTGGCTCTGGCTGGCTGACCTCTCTCATGTAACTCACCTCAGCCTGCTCGAAAAACAGCTCTCCGCACTTGGTAGAAACTGCTACTGGGAGCAATACCCGGCCCGCAGCAGGACCGCCTTGGCCCTCGGTAGGCGAGGCTTCTCAATTCATGGGCCCAGCAATCTATCTGCTTCTTCCTGAGCTCAACTTGCAAGTCAGCTCTCTTGCCCTCGCCCTTCTCGTCCCTCTGTCTGCTCAAGGAGTGAGAAGAAAGAGAGGTGGCCCTCGCCCACCTTACCTTGGAACAGATTTCGTGGAGACTCGTGGCAATGGCTTTCGCTGGTGTGTCACATCGAAATACATGACATTTCAAAATTCTTGTGTCTTTATCTCTTGCTACATAAGCAAAATCCCTGTGCAAACAGAAGTTTATCGGGACGTCAGAAGAGGGAACATCTTACGAACACATACTCCAGTTAGGAATGTTAACAGAGCTAGCAGCCAGCGTGTCAGTGGTGGACAAAGATGCAATGACCTTAAAGAAAACAAAAACGAACTACAACAGCTAGAGAAGACAGAAGCACAGTTTTATGGATATGAGGAATTGGTTTCTAAGTAACGTAACTACAATGTCCTCCAAGTCCTGTCTCTCGGACTCTTAGAATTGCTAACAACACTGAACGAACACTGGATTTTGTATCCATCTGGTGCAATAACAAACATCACAATCACCCAGCAGAACACAGGCTTGGAATTGCACGTGACATAAAGACAAACATAGCCAAAGCAAAACAGGCTCTGATGAGTGAACAGGGGACGGCCAGACCCACAGCTGCCGGAGAAAGTCGATGGGCGATCAGAGGGAGCGCTGAACACAAAGCCACAGGGGCTGGAATCCCATCAAAGGCATCGCATTTCCATAAATGCTTCTCGCACTTGGGCTCCCAGGGAGACAGCAGCATCCTTGCTTTGTATCCTGTTAGCTCAGACACCTCCGTGAGCAAGCTCCGCTGGATTTTAGCATTTGTTTTATTGATAGAAAAGGATATCAACTATGGCGTTACTTGGCTTCACAGAACCATACAACTAAATTTCTCCCTGTTACTACTGGAGGTCAGTGGTTCAAAGGTGAAAGTGTTCCTGAAAAATCAACGCTCAGCTTTACCCATGTGGTCATGGATCACAGTGATTAATCTGCGCAAGACACTGAGCCAGGATACTGTCTGCTGATGGAAGCGGATGAATTTATTTTTAAAGTATTTTTTTAATGGAAGAATTGGCAGTCTTTTCATAGACTATGACACGTCCTTTCCTCGAGATAACCATGGTTTCTTTGGAAAGGCATAAGGATCTATCCCTGAGGCAAACGACCGCTGTGAAGGTCTGGCTGGAGAAAATGTGCAATTCAGGGGAGGGTGAGCTGCTGAGGAACGGACTGCAGAGAAGCCCATCTCCTTGCCTTGTGTCCTGGGCAGCCCCAGAGGGGACGTCCTAGCCCACGCTCCAGGTCAGGCCAACCCGCTGCCCTGTAGGCGCCACACCCGACTGCTGTGTCTGCCCTGCCCTACCTCCCCCTGCTCAATCCCACAGCCTTGCTCAGGTAGCATCCTCTGTACTAGAACCAGACTCCTCGACCTCAGCCTCCAGCACCATTTTACCACTGGAAATCTGAAGACCCTGCTCTCTTTCCAGCACTCAGCATTCTGTGCAAGTCCTGACCACTGTTCACACCACCTCCGCCCAGCTGCCACTGTTCAGCCAGGGCTTGGGGTGGCTCCTTGCACACGCTGCACTTACACTGGCTTCCAGCAGTGTCCAGTCTACCTTTCCCATACGCCATGAAGATGACTGGGCACTCACCCACCCCCGGCACCTAGTCCAGCCTGGCTACCACAGGGAGTAGGAAGGTCTGCTGAGTGTCCCTTCGTCCCCGAAGTGCAGGGTTTGCTCCCCTGTCCCTGTCCCTGTTTCCTGTGGGGAAAGCTGGCCCTTAGGCAGAGGTGTGAACGGTTCCATGAGAGGAGGGCTGGGTCTGGGTGAGGAGCGGGGCTTGGACTCTCAGGGCTGAGCACAGTCTTGTTCCACGTTGGGTTCCTGAGACCTTTGCATCCTTGTCCCAACCACCAACAAGGTCACTCAAAAAGAAATACCCGGGGGTATAGCTCAGTCGTGGAGCATTTGACCGCAAAAAGAAACACCTCATTGGTGGACGCCAGGCTCAAGGCAGCCTTTGTTTTTGGTTCCCGTCCCTTTGGCTCTTGTTTCCCAGGGGGATCATAAAGAACCACACACAAGGTCTCACCACACACCTCTTCCTTTAACACGTTCACTGTGGGGCCATAGCTCGTATGTCTCACTGTCGGGCGGCTTGAACCACCTGTGGTACATGCAGGATTATCCCACCGGGTGGCATTTATTAATTTATTATTTTGTTAGTAAAAAGACCAATAAATGTGATTAGATCCATTTGCACCACCAGTGGTACAAGCTGCCCGATGGGACAGTCATTTGCCCCACCAACCTTCGGGTATTGTTCTCCAACTGAGGAACTCTCCCTCCACTCCAGCAAATGTGGGGCTCTATGTCCACTTGCTGTGGGATCTCCCGTCTTGGGGACCAGTGGCCCTCCCTGCAGGGTCCAGAGTGGACCCACCCTTCTCGGGATGTCCACCTCCCAGGCCTGCCTGGCCCTCTGGCCCTTAAGGCCCCACCAAGGTCTAAATGCTCACAGTACATGAAGAGCTCTGCCCTGTAGAGGCCTGTGGAGAAACCCATCTCCAGGGCGGCTGCACAGGTCTCGGCCGCATGTGTCCTTGCTGAGAGGAGCAGGAAGTAGCCGGGGTGGTGGGGGTGGATCAGGATTCAGCCAACCCAACCTCAGGTCTCATGCCCAGTCCCCCTTAGACACAAAGGTTGAGCACCCCAGATCCAAACATCCAGAATGCAAAATCCCCAACTTTTTTGGGCACTGACATGCTGCCACAAGCAGAAAATTTCATAGCAGGAAACTTTGTTTCATGGACAAAATTATTAAAAATACTACATAAAATTACCATCAGGCTATGTTTACTGGTTGTATATGAAACAAATAAATTTCATATTTAGACTTGGGCCTCATTCCCAAATTATCTCATAACATAGATGCTAATATTCCAAATTTTGAAAAAAAAAATCTCAAATCTGTAACACTTCCAGTCCCAAGCACCTTTGATAAAGGATACTCAAACTGTACAGCCTTGGGCATGGAATTCAACCTCATCTTTGAGGGGGTTGAAAAACTTGGTTTTCAAGCTCCCTCCTTGGCTCTGCCATTCTCTGATGTGATCTTCCAAGGCCTCGCACTCTCCGTGACCCCCGCAGGCCTCAGCGTCCGATCCCAAGGTCACCGACAGGATGAGCGGCCCCTGGTCGCGAGCAGTGGCTCGTCCTATCAGACTGCAGCTGTGTGCCCTCTCTTCTTTCACACATGACCCCTTAGGCATAATTTTTAAAATTATTATTACTAATCTGCTTTTTGTGTCTGCTCTGGGAATGGCAATGCATGCCTTAAGGGTAACCATCTGGAACCCACGTCTACCCAAAGGAGAAATTTAGAAGCCTCAGACTTTTGGGGAGAGATTCTCACACTTTGGTTTTTTCCTTAAAGCACCCATATCTTTTCCTGGTTCCTCTCAGGTACCAGGCTAATGCAGGAAGGGCAGAGACCTGTGAGCCCAGTAACAACCCCTCCAGGGGCTTCATCTGCTTCTTTTGTCTTTTCTGTCTGTGGAGGTCAAGAGATTTGCGTGCCCCCTCTCTTATCCTCATGGCACACATCCTGAGTCCCCCTCAAATAGCTGGCAGCCCCATCGCAGAGGTGTGTGGGATGCAGCGAGGACTTTCCCTTAGTCCTGGAGCAGGGACAAGCTGTGCACTGCAAAATACAAGGCTGTCTAATCTGCCCGTTATTCAGGCTGAAATCCACGTGCAGCTTAACTGGTCGCTCTCAAATTTGTCATTCAGCACCTGGCTTCTGAAGAAGGTTCTGGGGCAGACACAGCACTGCTCCCCTCCTGCCCCCAAAGGCCATCTTGTCCTAACCCCAGCGCTCATCCTTTTGCAGATGAGCTAGACTACAGCTCCCGAGATGACGCTCCCTGGATTATCCGAGAGGGCCAGTGAAACCGGAGGCCAGGGCAGGAGAGGAGAAGCAGGGAGAGGAGGGAGGGGACCTTCCCAGGGTCTCCAGCGGGAATGCAGCCCTGCCGACACTGTGGCGATGTGTTTTAGCCCGAAAGACCCATTTTGGACTTCTGACCCCCAGAACTGTAAGATTAAGTCTGTGCTGCTTTAAGCCACTTAAGCTTGTGATAATTTACTACAGCAGCAACAGGAGACCAATACAGCTGCCATTTGGCTCTGTATTTTAACTACATTATGATATGGCATTCAAGATTTATATTTTTTAAAATACTCAATTCGGTTCCCTTCCTCAACCACCCATGGCGCCGCGGTACGGGGCTGTGGTGTGGCTGGAGAGACGGTGTCCAGGACTCAAGTTGTCTGCGCAGCGCCTTGTGCCCAGCTAGGACTTTGGCCTTCACTCTGCCCTGCTCGAGCCTTGGAGTATCATGTGTGAACAGCTGGTGTGTTGCGATGCGTCCTTCTGGTAGAAGCAGATGGGTGGAGGGAGGGAGGACATTTGGGGGCTGCTTCTGCGGTCCAGGTGGGGAGGACATGAGGCAGGTGGGGGCAAAGCCAGCTTCTGTGAGGACCGGGAGAGGATGCGGATGGGAAAAGATGTTGGAAGGATCATGGCGAGGCAGACAGGTGTGTAGATGAAGGAGACAACGGAGAACAGCCCCAAGGTCTCTGCTAGGTCAGCCAAGGGCCCCTACAGCCGGGGTGGGGGAGGGGCACAAGTAAATGGGAGGCACTGGAGGCCACAAGGAGGAAGCCAGCCATGCAGGTGGACAGGTGGACACTTGGTCCCTGAGCTCAGGCCTGAGGTCTGGGTAGGAGACATGGATCTGTGCTTAAGTCAGGGAGGAGATGAGTGTGGAAGATGAAAGAAGGCTACACAGGGCCCGAGGCCTGAGGAAGACAGACATTCCAAGGCCTTTCTGAGGCAGAAGGGCCAATGAGAACATGGAGGATGAGTGCTGGGGACAGGGAAGGCCCAACAGAGGCTGAGTCCCAAGACATCAAGGAAAGGGTGGTTCTGGGAGGAGGGGAGACTTCCCAGGGCTGAGGGACCAAGCAGTAAGACAGACTTGCATGGCATTAGGCAGGACTCATAGAGGTTCTGGCACTGTGTGGTGGACAGAGGTTGGCCGGGCAGATGCAGGGACATTTTAGGAACCTTCACAAGGGCTTCCTGCCACTTCTGCCTCTCTCCTCCTATGACAGCAGTCTTGGCTTCCACAGAGCCATGTCCCAGCTTGCCAAGATGGCCTTATCTGTTACTCCCCAGTGACTGGGTCCCACACACAGCCAGGCGTCCTCCAGGGACCAAGGACCTCACCTACAAAACCACAGCAGGCCTACACGGTTGCCAAGCCCCAGTCAGAACACAGTTCCTATTTTCCCACCAATTCTTCTGGACACCGGTCTGAGGGGCTCTATCTGACCCTCAGCAACAAGAGCCATTTTTATCCTTTGTTCCGCCTCACACACCACATACAACACAGGGCCAGGAGCCATCTGCAAAAAGTCATAATGGGGGGCTGGGGATTTAGCTCAGCGGCAAAGCGCCTGCCTGGCAAGCGCAAGGTCGTGAGTTCGGTTCCTGGTATCGGAGAAAAACCATAAAAAAAAAAAAAAGTCATAATGGACCCCCAGAGTCTCACTCCACTTGTTTCCTGCAGGGATGGCAATCAAGCAGTTTTCTTCCAAAACAAGCAACTGGGTTCGTAGCTGTAGCTTCTCAGACCTCCTTAAACCATTAGCAGAAGCGAGTACCAGGAACCAGCTACCTTTCCCCATTTGATTACTGAGCTCTTACGTTTCTACCTTTTTTTTGGTTCCTGTCCTTTTTCTATTTTCCCCAGTAATTATTCCCCTGGAGGACTGGCTTTAAGTTCTGCTGCAGAAAAATGTCAGCAACAAGACATCTTTGACAGCCTCAAATTTCTTAATGGCAAAGAAAAAGGATCAAAGATTGCTTTTCTTTTTCTCAATTGTATGGCATTCTAATCTTCCTGTCGAAGCTTGATCCATCTTTATGGAATGAATGAAGAAAGAATTCTTTAAATGGATTCTAGGAAAAAAAAAACCTAGCCAAGACAGAATAATATAATCCCTAAATTTCTCTCTTGCCTTTTAGGGTAAGTGGAATTTGCTTATGTGTTTATTTCTCCAACTGTAAGAGGGGGCTGCAGACCTCTCAGTTGTCACACAGGGTAACTTTTTGAAGTCCTTTCTTTAGCAGCCCCTAATACCTGGAATACCTAGAATAGGGCAGGGATATGAAATCTCATTTCCTTCATGTATCAGCCTGTCCTGTCGTTGGAAGGCTCTCAGTGAACCAAAATATATATATATATTTAAATGAGAAACCAAAACTTGCCTCCCTGCAACCACTGTTGGCTAGATCTAGTCTTGCTTTCTGGCCAGAACAAGCTGACCTTGTCAGCTACATGACAGCCTACATGATGACCCTCCTTCCGCCCATCCAGTCAGCTCACTCTCCAGTCTCTCTCTGCACAGTGCCTCTGTTGCTATTCCTTACGCAGACCGTAACGTGATAACATCTGTCACATACTTCATATTTGCTGAGGTCAAATACATGCTTTTACGTAGGGAATCTAAAGGGTGGCATAGGATAGGCATCTGACGAATGGTAGTTATTATTATGAGGGAAAAGAAGGCAGAGAGAAAGCCCACTTTGAAATACTGCCTCCTTATCCAGAAAGGATGTTCTAATAAATGTCTGCACTCATTTGAACTGCACAGAGACTTCCTAAAACAGCCCCAATTACCCTTTCTTCCCAGGTTGTCAGTTGGGTGAAGCTATAAGCCACCAGAGTTTTACCAGCACAGCGAAGCTCCCACCTGCGAGCAAGGATGAAACAACAGCGAAGGGACTTGGTCTGAGCAGCACGTTTCTAGCTCTTTTTGACACAGGGGTCTCTCCTCTTTGTTTCACCTGCAGGGCCTGGCGTGGGATTCCATAAGGGACTTGGAAAGGGAGCCCACCAGAGGACCCACTGTAATTACAGGGCCCCAGGGCTGTACCCAAATGTGGTCTGGCCTGGAAGAAAAATGAGTCCTGTTTCCAAGACTCTCTGTTCTTGTTTCTGGGTTATGCTTGAAAAAGCTTGTTGTGGGCACAAAGGGACAGGGAAGAGGGAGGAGGGACACAAGACAGCTCATCTTCCTGCACGGCCAATCCAGAACGTCTGTGTTTGGCGCGGTTTTTCTTGTGCATTTTCCCCACTAGCACGTGCACCACATGTGAGCATCCTGAATCTCACAATGCTCAGCCCGCAGCCCTTCTTTTCCTCTTCACAGGCTCGGGAGGAGGCTGAGTTCTGGAACTCTGAGGGAGACATCCCAGCGGCTCAGCACCTGGGTGCGCTCCTTCTTTACTGGGGACTCTCCAGCAGGCACTTCTGTGAGAGGGACAGGCTGGGTGAACGGCAGATTTGCATGTGACCCACCAGTAATTATCAGTGCAGCTTGGGAAAACCAGCGTTTATCTGTAGCCCTCTCTAGGGTAGAGGGCTTGCTGTTAATATTCAGAGCAGCTGTTCCCCTGTGAGGCGACCTGCGTACACGGAGAGGGGAGGGGAGGGGAGGGACTCAGGAGAACCTGCACATCTCTGCACCGCCGACTCCAGCGGGACTCGGCCTGCCTTCGGGTGAGAGAGCCGAGGACCGCACGCCCAGCCCTGGTCCTCCAGAGCCACCTCCCTGTGCCACGACCTCCTCAAAAGGCCTAAGTTCTCCTACTCACACCTCTGGAAGACTGACCTTGGGCGTGTGTCTCACTGGTCTGTGCTGACTTCCTCTCCTTCAAAGCCCCGAGCAATGCCAGCAGTCATGGCCGGGGCAGAAACACCTGCCAGCCTGGACGGTCAGGGTGGCCCAGTGAGCTCAGGGAACTGCTGGCAGGCAGAAGACTTACCTTCACTTCTCGCTCCCAGCCAGCCAAGGAGCTCCCCTGAGAGCAGCTCCCACACCAAGAGCAGCCCTGCTTAGCGTCTCTTCACTTTGCCCAGCAGTGACCACAGCCGTTTTTTCAAGGACAAACACTCAAAATGCCCTTCTTCCCTCAAAAATAGAGCTTTTCTTAAAAAATGACATGCTAGAGCTAGAGGATGGTGGAGCTTAAAGCTTCCAAATACCCAACGGGAAGGCTGACATTCAGAGCACGGGCAAAGGCATCTGAGGTCTAAATGCGGCTGCTTTCATGCTTACATGCTCTCCATGGTTCTTTCTCCTGGGTGGCAAAGGAGTAGAAGTCCACACATTGTGGCTAATAATTGATAATGAAATTGACTCAGTGCTTCTGGCTAGTAGGCTGATGTCAAACATGACCATCAGAACTCTAGAAAATACAGATGCACTAATATTAACTCTTCAAGGAGCATGAAAATCCTCCTTGTATAACATGATCTGTAACCCAAGCATTTCTATCCCACTCACTTCCTTGCATGCTGACCGGGTTTTCAGCTGTTAGTAATTACCAAGTGACCACATTGCTACTACACTTCACTGCTCGGCCCATCACTTTCCCCAGACAGGGTCAAACCCAGCAGAGGACTAGGGCCCCAGACGTAACTCCAGGCTCTGTTGGACATGATGGACACAAATGGTGAAACAACACAAACAAAGTTCTGCCCGTCAAAGGCAAGGACAGCTGTGAGGATGGTGATGCGTATGGAGAAAGCAAGTGAGCTCTGCCAGACACGGAAGACACCACACAGGGGAAGGAGCGAAAGTCGGCTGGTTACCTCTCTCTGAGTCCGGGCAGGCATGAGGGAACAGAACAGAAACAACACGTTAGCATTCACACTGTATCCGGCAAATAACACAGCAACTCTGAGCAATGACAGCCCACCTTATTCCCAACTTTGCAGCAATGAATAGCCCTCCGGTGCTTATTTTAGCTGAACTCTATCCCCCAGAAGAGTGTATTTTGAGCCATGTTATGATGAAGCCAAGAGATTCCAGCTGAATTTACAGAGGCAACATGTCAACCGGGGGAGGTAATCAAGCTTAAAATATCACAGTCAACTACAGGAAACTGCAGTAAACACTGGCTGAGGACTTACTGTAGACTTGCCACTGCTACCTGCTCCTGATAAAAACCACACAGCAACGACGACACAGCCCAGCCATACTCATTTACAAGGCTTCGACATCCTATCAAAGCCACAATACAGAAATGCAGTACTTGCATGAAACGCATCCCTGCTCGGGGCAGCAGCGGGGAGACAGAGCAGAAAGTCAAGGGCGGAGGTAGGGAGGGCAAGAGCCAGCAGATCCCAGAGCCAAGGGCAGAGGACAGAGAAGTCCAGGGAAGAGAGGAGAGGAGAGGAGCGAGGGCAGCCTGGGGTTTGGAGGTGGCACACTTTGGTTCCATCCCCAGAGCTGCCTTGAGCCACCAGGGATGCTGAAGTCCCTTAACCGTTGACCTACAGTTGTCCCCACTCCCTTCTCGTCTTGTCCCAGACAATCTGGAAGGCCCCAGGGGCCGATCCCCCCGAGGAGTGACACATAGGCTTCACATACAGACTGGATGGCAGAGGTGGGAGTGCAGGCCAGGTAACACAGACAGGAAGAAAGCCACGGCCACAGAGGCTGCTGTCCTCCGCTGTCCCAGCAGTGGGGTCATGCAGCGGCCAGCGGGGCCCGGGGGGCTGAGAGCTAACATCACGGTGTGAGCGCCCTGCACACCAGACAGCAAGCCACACAGCCGTGAAGCAGAAAGGCAGAGCTGAGCCCCCAGACACGGGCCGATGACCGTGATCCACGGTGACACGGGAGGAGGAACCGACAAGCCTAAGCAGCAGTGACAAGGCCTCAAGGGGAAACCAACACAAGGTGGAGCATGTACTTTAATATGTGCTGGGATTACAGGCATGCGGTACCTCACCCAGGGGAACAATTATCCTAATTTATTGAACTCTGGCTCTGTAGACCTCCTTCTAGCAGCCTGCAGGCCAATATCACTGCTGTCACTGACAAATGAGGAACCAAGTTCAGAGAGGTTGAGGAACTTGGTCAAAGTTGCACACACAGCTAATATTGGTAAAGATGGGTTCATTACAGGCTGCAGGACCCTAATTCTAGTCTTCTTCCATGTACCTCTGATAGGCGCCTCAGACTTCTACACAACCGTGCAGAGCCCTCTAATGATTTGTCCCCCGAATGACAAACCCAGCAAGTCCCTACACACAGGTGCACAAAGCAGGGCTGAAGAAGACTTGGGCAAAGAACTTGGCACAAAGAGGAACAAGATGGCCCAGCTGCTGGGAAGCACTGTGGGAGAAGCGAGGCGGGTGGGCCTGTGCTCCTTGGGGCTGGGTGCTCGCCTTCTCCTTGCCCACTCTGCCTCCATTTCTGGGGCTCCCCTATGTGCTGGGCACACTGAGGTAGGAGCCCCTGGACACAGATTCCTCATCAGTGCCAGCAGGACGAGGACACTGGCTCAGGGCCACCGGAAGACGCGTGCAGAGCACAGCCTTGGTGATCTGCATCAGGCGAGCCGTCACCCCAAACTCATCGGCGGGTTCAGGCGTCAGCAGGGCCATGCCGGGCAGCACTGGAGAGGGACTCTTCCTGGACGGACAGTCACCCGGGCGAGGGGATGTAGCCTCTCTTACACTTGCTGGATACCACCTTCCACAGCAGGACGTGGGGTCACCCCCAGCTCAGGTCCCTCTGCATTTCCTGGGCCGCACCTATGGAAGTGGACGCCTGGCAGCAGCTCAGTTTAACAGAAAAGAGTGCAAGGGCCTGGATTTTTGTCCCGGGCAAGCACACAGCTATGCCCCTTGAGCAGATCGCTGAGTGTGGTGGATTGACAACTGGTAGGCAACTTGCAACACCCAGCCAAACTGAGTCAGCATGGTGCTGGGTGTGGGAGGTCCACCTGAGGATTGTTGCCAGTAGCATAAGAGGCAGAACCAGAGAAGAAAAAGGGAGAGGCTGTTGGGAGCTGGTAGAAGCTATTGGGAGCTGTTGGTTTTCCTGGACGACCTTGTCATGCTGGCTTCCCTGATGAACTCAGCTGTTCTCATTGTCCGAGGAGGTCAGGGCCTCACTGTCACTGAGAATGGCTATGGTTCACTTTGGGGGAGCTCTGGTTCTCACTCTGAGCATGGCTTCCTGGCCACAGAGGGGAAGATGCGCTGCTCAGTATCCTGGAGAAGCTTGTCGCATTGGTTTTCCTGATGGGAACTCGGCTGTCCTCATTGTTGGAGGAGTTCAAGATCTCACTGTTGCTGAGGATGGCTGTGGTACTTTTCAGGGGAGCTCTAGTTCTTACTTTGAGCATCGCTTCCTGGCTCCAGTGCAGATCCCTCAGCCTGCTAGCACAGATCCTTCATCCCGCTGGCACAGATTTTCTAGCTTCCACCACTGACCTTTGGACCTTCCCAGTGCAGATCCGTGAAACAGACCTGCACGAGACATTACCATGGGCTCTAGGCCTGCAGCCGGACTCATGCAGGACATTACCATGGGATCCAGGCCCTCAGCTGGATTCTTTGGTCTTTACTGCATGGACAGATTTCCTGCACTGTCTTTTTGTATATGATTCTTTGGGTGACTTATAAGTAATCTTATAAAATATGTGTCCTGCTTATATCGTTCCCCTTGCAATAACCCCAAACTACGACACTGAACTTCCCAGAGCCTGTGCCTTCCTATTTCACATGAGAGGCTCTTAGCGTTCAGATTGTTATCAGAAAAAGATGTTAGTGCTTTGACTCTGACGACAGAGAAGAATGAGCAGCGAATGTTCCTTGAAAAGCTCTTGGTTTATGCCAACCTTTAATTTCTTATTCCTAATAAAATACTTATGTCTGGTGTATGATAAAAACAGCCCAATAATCCTGAATCTAAAGACCTGAGAACACAATCTGTTTCTTTTGCATATAATTATGACTGTTGCCTGGGATATTTTAAATCAGACCCACTGCCAATTAATCACATAAGGAAGTAACTAATATGCAGCCACTATGTTTCTCTCTGAAGTCAGAACTTGGAAAAGGACACTTTAACTTCGAACACTGTTGATTCTTTGGGGGATAGTAGACACTGCTTGATTTAAGTGTGAGGGGAAATCCAGCTATAAATAGGGACTTCAGAGGATCCCTGAAACATCTTCAAAAATCCACAAGGGTCATAGATAGTGGCAGATGCTCTGCCTAATTTAACGCCATGCAAATTTGCTGTTACAAAGAAAACCATCAGCCCAAAGCTGGGCTTCTGCACAAGACAAGCGATTCTGTGAGCGTAGAGGTTAAATTTAGAGTGGGGCACAGGCTCACTCCCTTTTCTCTGCACAAGATGCCAGTGGAAAGAATTAAACCCCAGGATTAATTCCTCTGGCGCCGCACACCCCACGGCTGCCTGGTCAGCATGCTCTTGGGGCTGCTCCCTGGGAAAGTGAACGCATGAGTAATTGGCAGTGTTTTCCTGTACATAAGCTGGAAATAACAGAACTACCTGGCAGGTAACCGGCAGCAAATGATAGGAAATCCCTAAGATACAGCAGTGGCAAAGGCACACACTCTATCCCGCCTTTTTGGGAGAGGACACCGCAGTCTCCTCCCCCCTGGCTGCGCCACTAGGCAACACATGACGTCTACTTCTCATATGACCACACAGGCAAGGCCTCTCCAGTGCCCCGCTGGCTCGCAGGCACTTCTGCAGAACTCTATGATGTGCGGTCCTTTTCTGAGGGTGGTGGGATTGCACCTGGCCTCCTCACAATGAGCTACATCCCCAGCCCTTTTAAAACATGTTATACTTTGAGACAGCGTCTAAGTTGCTAAATTGCCCAAGCTAAGTTTGAACTTGGGATCCTCCTGCCTCAACCTCCCAGAGTGCTGGGATAACAGGAGTGAGCTACTATGCCTGGCTGCATGCTACTTTTTGATACTTGTCTGTCATGAAAATTCTTACACTGGCTTCTGTACCCGACGGCTTATTTTTCCCCCAGCTTCATGTTTTTCCCTCCTTTGTGACTGATATTTATTAGCAGTTTGCCCTTGGTGGGGGTCTCAGTCTCTTTGTTCTTGAGTTTCTTCCTCTGTGAAATGGGCACACTAGTGGAACTCACATCCTAAGAGAGCTGTAAGGACTGCACATGAGTTAATCCACAGAGAACTCCTTTGCACTGCAGGAGTGGCTTGCAGTGTAGACTTGTTTGGTGGGCTAGGCCTGGGATCGCTTCGACAAGGTCAGAGGCTGGCTGAGGGGAGCCATGCCTACTATGTTTTGAATCATGCTATCTTTTGAAATATGATGACAACAATTCAGAAAAAAGTGTGCATGGACTAACAACTTTACATATAACTTTGAAGGGTACTAGAGCTGGAAAGTTTCACTGATCCCTGAAACTCTTTCCCGGACCCCTATGGAATCTGCACCCTACAGGTAAAGGACATCAGAACTGAAATGAATACCAAATTGACGCAAATTTCCCATCTGGATTCTGGTGGCGTTCAGAGGCTTCAGCTCAGAGAAATGGCCTATCCTTCCAAGGACCAAAGGGTGAGAGGAACACCTGCCCTGGACCAACTGTGCTCCCCTTTCCAAAGCAAGCTCCCCTCCTATCTGCCCACAGCACCATGCAGTCACAGCTATTAAGCAGGGAGTCAGAGTTCCAACGCGATTAAGTGTGATGCCCCAGGATTTAGATCCGTGTAAGGTTATTGAAATTCAAGGCACATTCTTCTAAACAAAGGACTTTCTCATGCCAATGGAGAGAAGACACAATAGTTAC